GACAAATTAATGCAGATTTGTCAATAGTCTTGACTTAGATGATGGTCAGATCACATTTTATGACAAATTAATGCAGATTTGTCAATAGTCTTGACTTAGATGATGGTCAGATCACATTTTATGACAAATTAATGCAGAACACCATGAAATTCCAAAAGGTTCACATACTTTTTCTTGCAACTGTATATTGTTTTCACCTAGACAACCCTTGTTTTTAGCAAAATCTTATTCTGGTGTTGTGACACTGAATACTTTTCTATCAAGACTTCATCTAATGGCATAATGATTTTTGCAACTCTGATATCAAAAGTTATAAAGAAGTCATAAAGCAACTGTTGCAATGAATAGGACAGTAGATTGCCTCATCCTATTTTCCTTGCTAGCTGCAAAACAAAATATTTCAGCTAAAATCTGTAGATGGGAGGTTTGTATCTTCATTGTCTGAAACTTCTGTGCAACTTAACTGTAGAAACAAAGTACGGAGGCTAGAAATGTACATGAGTTGTACCCATGAAAGGCTTATAATAAATACAAAGGAAGAAATAAAAAGGGAGCAAATATGAAAAAATAAATGAGTGATATTGGTCATCATAATATAATTTGGGAAAGGTGAATACAGTATTTTTATTAAAAACAGCCAGCTATTAAAAACAAAAATAAACTGAAATCTTTTTCTTACCTGCAATCAGGAATTATGAGAATAATTTTCCTTGTGATTAAAGAATCTATCACTTGTTCACTATTAAGATACTATCCACTATAAATATATTAATGCATTAATTTTCTTTTTCACAATAGTTTTAGACTAATCTAGGTATCAGTGCAGCCTTTTGCTAATGAAGTTCAACATCACTTGCCAAAAGAACAGATGTTCATAATGCATCTCTGGATTACATCTCCATTAAATAAAATTTTCATTTCTTTTACAGATGTAAAATATTTATTTTAAATGCTTCTATACGGCTTTGTTCAATTCTGAACAGCTTAAAGAATATTATTTATAAATAACTTTGTCTGGTTTTGCCATTTTCAATTACAGTGATAAAATGCTAATTCATATAATACTTTCTTGTTCCCCTGCAGCCCACTTTCAGAGTTTAAACCATGTTATGAGAAACCTTCAACCCACAGATGGAGTTGAATTGTAGCCCCCACTAATCCAAATCATATTACCAAGGGTAAGAGATGTTGGGAGTTGTAGTTCAGCAACAGCTAGGATCATAGATTCTCCCAGCTTTGGTCTAAAAATAAATTTTTATTAGGAGAAGCAATAAACAAGGGAGACAATTTTTATAATATATTTGAACAAAGAAACTGGATTACAGTATAGACAAATATTGGCACAATGTTTTTATAAGGCTTTCTCGTGTACATTTTAAGTTCTATGTTTGCTTAAGAAGAAATGCCTGCTCATTCCAGCTCATATGAGTGTTGATACTCTGTAAGAGCATTAAAAATATATCACAATAATCAGAGATTATAATTGGTGATCTTCTAAGTGCATTGCCCCAATCTGAGTTCTTTCATTGATGGTGCATGAACTGTCATTTTAAACATGAAAAGACGTTTTGTTCAATAATGATTCACTGATGGGAAGAGCACCACCTACTGGTTTCTTTATGCTCCAATTGGCAAACATGGAAAAACTAACATGAAATCTCACTACAGCCATACAAAAGACACACCTGTCTTTGAAAACCCACTAGTTTTGCAGTGTACAGCTTCTCAGTCCTGAATTTAGGACATCAGCATGAAAGCATATGTTGTGATAGATGAATATTTTTAGTCAGAAATATTTATAGTCCAAACATATTTCCTTACCTAGAAGTAAGAACCATTTATTTTTTGAAATTGTTAACTGTGCTTAGACCAACCCCCCCCCCAAAAAATATAAATTATTTTTGGGAAAAAAAATTTTTTTT